TTTGCTTTTCTCCTGATCCAGAGTCAAACGCTTCTTATACTCAAACGGATCTTCTTTCGGTTTTTCTTTACGGACAACATCGTCCCAAGCCTAGAACATAAAATATTAACATGATATTTCAGCAGTGTGTATGTGTATGTGTTGTGTTTTTAAAAAGACACTCTGGAGCAATGCCTGTTGCAGGTAGCAATGAACATCTCACTTTGCGTTAGCTTCACCTTGATGCAATTCATTCTCTGTAGTTAAGCCATTAAAAATTAGCTGACAAAATTGCAGGAGTTAAGAACACAAATCTGTACAATGTAAAGAGAGTTGTTTTTTTTTAAAGCCACGCAAGAATAATGAAAACTTGGCAACTTTTTAATCCTGAAGCACCAAACTGCTTCCTTGGAAAAATTCCACAGCAACAGGATCTTAAGGATTCTTACAAAAGAGAAAAACTATCTTCTCCACAGCCTTCAAGGATACCCACAATCCAGACCACCTGAAGAGCAGCTAGGGTAGCAAAATGGGAGATTCCTCTCTCAAACAGCATAAATGAGAAAGATTTTTTAAAAAATTATTCACCTGATCTTTTATCCTTCTCTTGATAATCTCTTCCAGCTCAAGAGTTGTTTCTTCTGTGACCATCGGAGCTGAGAACACACACACACACACAAAAAAAACCCAAACCCAGTGAGATTTAACAGTATCCTTTCCGATAGTTCCAGATGATGGAACTATCTTGGCCATGTACAAACCAGCTTTCCTAGCTACAAGAGCCAATTTGGTTCAGGTGCTGGTCTAGAAACAAGGGCAATTGTGAGTTCTAGTCCTCCCTGAGGCATGGAAGTGGGTGACTTTGGGCCAATCACCAGGAGACAGTGAGTTCTAGTTCAGCCTTAGACATGAAAGCCGGGTGGGTGACTTTGGACCAGCCACTCTCTCTCAGCCCAAAACACCTCACAGGGCTGTTGCTGTGAGGAAAGGAAGAGGAGGAGGGTGGGTTGGAAATGTTCACCACCCTGTGTTATTATCTGTGCAAAAATCAAATAAAGCGATTCATAAACGCTAAGGAGCATTTCTTCCCCGGAGCTTTCAAGATAAAGCATCTCTGTGCTCCATTTAAGGGTTACCCATTCGGACTGCATGGTCAAACAGCAGCATCTCCTCCAGGAGGCTGTTCTCTGGTCTCTTCTGCCCCACAATTTCGCCCTTCAGTTGCCATGGCTTCTCCTTCAGCAGCTCCTCTTCCAGGGATTTTATTTTTTCGCTCATCTGTAAGAAGAAAACGAGCAACCTCTCATTCCCAAGGCACAAAGGTTTTAACCCATTTCTTGTCCCTGCCTCGCTTCGTTTCTTTTCTTCCTAGCCTGAAGATTTTGTATTTATCAACAGCCTTTCAGACAACAGCGTGAATGGATTTGGGCCTAGCGCCAAGTTCACCTTTTCCTGTCTTTTCTCAAAGGACGATTTCATTTCAGGCGGCTTGCTAGATTTTCCCTGGAACGAGACGGTGTCCTCTTCCACGTCGCTGTCAAAGGGCAAGGAGAAAGTCACTCTTTTCGAAGGGTCTTTGCTTTTTCCACGTTCGGTCTGTCTCATTTCACCCATGTCCTCAGCGCTCCTGTCCAACAATAGGATAAAAAAAAACATTCATTAGGCACATATTTTTATTTATTGCATTTTCATCCTGCCTTTATTACTTTTTTAATAACTCAAGGCAGTGAACGTAACTAATAGGCCTTCCTCTTCCTATTTTCCCCACAACAATCCTGTGAGGTGTGTTGGGGTGGGACAGAGTGATTGGCCCAAAGTCACCCATTGATTTTCATGCCTATGATAGTGGGACTAGAACTCACAGATTCCTGGTGATTGGCTCAAAGTCACCTAGCCAGCTTTCATGGCTAAGGCAGGACTAGAACTCACAGTCTCCTAGTTTCTAGGCCAGCAACTGAACCACCACACCAACTGGCTCTTACTGAATATATTTATTATTAATGAAGTATCTACAAAGTTTGCATTATAGATGTATTAAAGATTTCGTAACTCCTTATTAAAATAGAACTGTGCCTTTAGAGATCAGCCACATACTCAGAAGCGCTCTCCGCACTGCCTCCTTCCTCTTCCTCTTCTCCACCTTCTCCACTCTGGCTATTTTGGTCATCTTCCTTTTCATCCAGGGGATTGCTGCTCTCATCCACAGGATCAAAGTAATCTTGATATTTAAGCTCGCGAGCACTTTTAATTGCCTGAGGAAGAAGAAAAGCGAAGTTGGTGGGCAGTGAATATTTAACACACTGGAATAAGAATGACTACAAGAATTGTTCTTCTCAAAATATGTGGGATATATTTGCAGACTTTTGCCGTGGGATTTCCCAGGAAGAGTCCCCTTTGTTTCAAAGGATGCATGTAAGCAAAGCAGTATTTTAAAAATAATTGTACAAATTTGATAACTATTCTATTTGCAGCAATGCCTGTGGACTTCAATTCCCAGAATTCCCCAGTCAGCTATTCTAAGTTGATCTGGAGAATTGTTTTGAAATCCGATTCTTTCCAAGTTTGTCTGCCTCAAAATAATATCACCTTTCAGAGCAGACTAAATTTACCTTATGAAAACACAACGTTTTCTCCCAAGCGCTTACCTTCTTCTTCAATGCTCCAAACTCCTCCTCCTCCTCCTCCTCCTCCTCCTCCTCTTCAGAAAGAATCTCTTCGAAGTAATCTATTCCATCGCTGTCATTCTCTCTCTCTCCTTCTTTCTCCTCCGCCTCTAACGCAGCCTCCATCTCGGAGAGTTTGAAAAATCTGTCGTCTACGAGGGAGTCCATCCCCCACTTTTTCCTAACGCTCTTTGACTTTTGGGTTTGCTGCTCTAACTTATCGATATCAAAGTCCAGCTCAGAATCCTCGTCGCTGAAAGGACCGTTTTTGGAGGCTTCCGAATTGCTTCTCTTCTGGTCAAGCCCTTCTTCTTCTTCTTCACTGTGACTGCTGCTGGGTTCCTTCTCCGCTTGGTCCTCCACATCCATGTCCTCCTCACCATCTCCTGCCTCATCTTCTTCCTCCTCCTCCTCCTCCTCAATGTCTGGGAGAAGGGAAAGCAACCCCTTTCCCTCATCCTCCACGTTTCTCGCGACCGCTTTCTTCAAGGACCCCAGGACGGCATGGTTCTGCAGCTCCAGCTGTTGCCAGATCTGTTCCTCGTCGAAGTTCTCAACCACCAGCTGTTCCAAAGGGCTTCCAGCCACGGCTTCTCCTCGGAGGGCGTGATGAAAATCATAGAGCGCTTTGGTCAGGGCAACGAAGTCAGCGGCGAGGTTGTCCTGGACACTGGAAGGCAAAGAGGTTACAGGCCACTTGCCAAATGAGATTCGCCCCTTCTTTTAAGCCTGCTTGACCCTCCATGTCCTCATTTCACAGCACATACCAACTTTTATCTTTACTTTTTAGATATTTTATTGCTGTTATAGGTTTTTTTTTTGGTTCTGAGCCACCCAAAGTCATTGAGAATCAGGTGGCGTACAAGTTTAATAAATCATCATTAGGTTTTATCCATTTTATTGCAATTTCTTTGATGCTGTGCGAGTCACAGACCCATTGAAAATTGGACAGCAAACAAGTTTAATAAACCATTATTTTGTTTTATTGTAGTTTGTTGCAAGCTGCTCAAGGTGACATACAAGCTTAATAAGTCACCATTATTATGAAGTTTAATTGACTTTATTGTTAATTTCTTTGATTGTTGTAAACTGCTCAGAGCCATTGAGAGTTGGACAGCAGGAACCATTATTATTATTTCATGTTTCATTAATTGTACTGTAATTTATTTGTTGTGTTGTGTTCAGTCGTTGAGATGGGCTTAATAATGTAAATCACTATATTATTACTGTTGTTGTTTTGTTGTTGTTTTATTGCAAACAAGGTTCCCAGCCTACAAAACCAAAAGGCGCGGGGTTGAGACGAACAACCCCAGGAAGGAGCAGGAGCAGGAGCAACCGGGGACTCTGGCCGGGGAAATCCCCAGTAAGAAGCGCCCCTCCTTCCCCAACCGGGCGCCCTCTGGGCTGCACCTGACGGGTTCCCACCTGGCAGCCAGAGGCTCGGCAGGCTGGGAGCGATGGGCATTGTAGTGCAACGCTTCGTGGGAGGCCGATCCCCGCCCGAACCCGCCTCTTAGCCCGTCCCTACCTGAGGAACTGCTCGGGGCGACCCGCGGCGGCGCCCAGAAGCTCCAAGCACGTGTCCAGCCGCTGCCGTGGAGACGGGGCCGCGGCGAGATCCGCCATGCTTCTCGGGCGCCTCTTCGGCGCGTCCGTCCCCGAAAGGGTTCCGCCCGGCAACGCGCCCTCCGCGGAGGAAGGTTCCGCCGGGAAAAAAAAAAGGTCCGGGTGGCTCTGCTCTGCGAGGGTGGCGAGTTGTCCGGCCGGGCAAACAACCGCAGCTCCCGAACCTTTTGCAATGGGGAGAAGGCTCCGGACGCTTTTATTGCGCTGCTCTCCCCTCTTTCCCCCACTATGCCCCTTTGCTGCTTTCTCTCCCCTATACCTTCCCAACAGCCCTGCAAGGTGGGACGGCCAGCCTTATGGCAAGGCTGAGCGGGAGTTTGCACGGGGTGGGCATGCACAGACAGCCTGCAAAGGCGGGTCCTTCGGGGCAGGTGTGCATTCAGCTTTTGGAAAAAGAAAACCCTGCTTTGCAAGAAACACCCCCCCCCCCCCTATGCATTTTGAATACCTCTCCAGATCGGAAAGAGCCCCCCCGTCCCTAAGTACAGCATTCCTGCCTTGCATTGTCACCTCCTCCTCCTTGTTGTTGTTGTTGTTGTTGTTGTTGTTGTTGTTGTTGTTGTTAAATAGTAGCTATTTGGGGGAAACTCTAAAAAGACAGAGGCGCTAGGACCCAGCGGCGGTTCTCCCCCTGCTTTGCGAGCAGCCGCTGTTTCTCCTCCGTTTCCTTTTGACCCCGCGGAGACGCCGTTGCCAGTTTTCTTTTGGCTTCACCGCGCCTAAAAGGCGAAGAAGCCGAGCCTGGCAGTGCCAGGTATAAAGATGGCCGCCCTCAAGGGTAAGCTGGTGGCAGGTACGTGCTGGGGAATTGTGGGGAAGAAACGGGGCTGGGGAGGCGCTTTCCGCACGAGACCCCTTTGCAACCTTGCTGGGCGGGGCTCTTTGCACGCTTGCATTGGTGCAGGCGCGCATGAAATGCGTGCAATTGCCCTCCATTCTGCTGCTTTGCGAGATTAGGGGCTGCAACAGCTGGAATCTGGGTGCAATGCTTTTTCCCTGGGACGGTGCTTGGAAGTGCGCAAGGTGGGATGCAATTCCTTCCCTTGTCTGGAATGCCCTATAGGGTTACGCTGCTCCTGTACATGGAGGCTCCCTTGCCACCGCAGGGCAGCTCATGCCTCTTTTACCTACCTGGCTGCTTTGGGAAGATCGCAGGTTGTGGCCTGTCCTGCAGGTGGGGAGAAGACAGCCCAATATCCCTCTCTGTAAGGCAGGCAGTCCTGTGGTGGCTCTTCATGAAAGCTTCATTTTATGCAGTACCCCTGAAGTACATGAACTAGAGGCCATAGAGCAGTGTTTCTCAATGGACTTCAACTCCCAGAACTCCCCAGCTACCTTACAGTCCTTTAAAATGGGTAGACTTCAACTCCCAGGATTCTCAACTCAGCATGGTGGCTGGGGAATTCTGGGAGTTGAAGTCTGCACAATTTAAAGTTCCCCAAAAACACTGCCCTAAATTCTTGGACTTGATAGACAAAAATGCCAAAGGCAGTCTAAACTGACTGTGTGACTTGACAACAACAATAAAACAGCAGCAGCAACAACAACAAACAACAACAAACAACAACAACAACAACAAACAACAAACAACAAACAACAACAAACAACAACAACAAACAACAACAAACAACAACAACAAACAAACAACAAACAACAACAACAACAAACAACAAACAAACAACAACAAACAACAACAAGCAACAACAAACAACAACAAACAAACAACAACAACAAACAAAACAAACAACAACAAACAACAAACAAACAACAAGCAACAACAAGCAACAAGCAACAACAAACAACAAACAAACAACAACAACAAACAAACAACAACAACAACAACAACAAACAACAAACAAACAAAAACAAACAAACAACAACAAACAACAACAACATGAGCCAGCACTGTGCAGAAGCAGCCAAAAAAGCTAATGCAATCCTAAATTGTATTAACAGAGGGATACAATCGAGGTCAAGTGAGGTACTACTACCACTCTATAAAGCCTTAGTAAGGCCACACCTAGAGTCCTGCATCCAGTTTTGGTCACCACACTATAAAAAAGATGTTGAGACTCTAGAAAGAGGGCAGAGAAGAGCAACTGGGATGATGAGGGGACTGGAGGCTAAAACATACAACGAACGGTTGCAGGAACTTGGCTAGTCTAGTAAAGAGAAGGACCAGGGGAGACATGATAGCAGTCTTCCAATATTTGAGGGGCTGCCACAGGGAGGAGAAGGGGTCAAGCTATTTTCTAAAGCGCCTGTAGGCCAGACAAGGAATAATGGATGGAAACTGAACAAGGAGAGATTTAACCTGGAAATAAGGAGAAGCTTTCTGACAGTGAGAATGATCAACCAATGGAACAGAAGTTGCCCTTGGAAGTTGTGGGAGCGCCATCAGTTGAGACTTTCAAGAAGAGATTGGACTGCCATTTGTCAGAAATGGTGTAGGGTCTCCCGCTTGGGTGGGGGGTTGGACTAGATGACAAGGTCCCTTCCAACTCTGATTATCTGTTATTCATTATCTGTTAATTGCAAAAGGCAAAACAGCTATGATGGTACTTTTAACATCGTCAAATAAGAACATCTGCCTCCCAAGTCCTTGGGAAAGACTCAATAGGTGGATAAAATGCCAAATTCAGCCTAAACATCTGGCTGACTGTGCAACCAACCATCACAATAATATCTAACATTTAGGACAGTAGGATGCATCCAAGACTGAACTTTTATTGCATCGCATAATTATGTCCATCTGAAGACGTCAGCGGGAACCAGCTGCTTCTGCAGCCAGGGATGTGGTAGCTACCCCAGCCTTAATGTGGGGTAGGAAAATGGATTTACTTATTCATATTTGCACATTTTAACACATTTGTGAATGTAAAACATCAGGCATTTTGCAGTGTGCTTAACAGCTGGGGAGAGAAATGCTAAAAGATTCCTCCTGTGAAACTATAAACGTTGTATAGGACAGGGGTCGCCAAACTTTTGGACCACCAAACTCATAATTTTAAATCCTAACATGAATTCAAATGTCTTAGCAACCTGTTCTGTAGGCGTGGCTTAATTTGTGGGTGTAGCTTGGTGGTCATGTGACTGGCTGGACATGGCTTGTATATAAATATTATAAATATTTATGAAAGTATTGAATTTTTTATTTAAAAAAAAGCAACTTTTACCCAAAATCAGGCAAAGCAGGCAGGCAGATTGAGTTGCTCACAGAATCACAGATTCACTTAGAGATCTGTGTTTCTGTCATCGGCTACCTGGGTCTGTCACATAAAATTTGCTAGCAAGCAAACTCACAAAATTAACTCACAACATACCATATATTTTGCCACCAAAAAAGGCACCAGTTCTTATTTTCGGGGGATGACTTGCACGCCTCAACTCAGCCTCCTTTTCGCTGTCAGAGGCCTTCAGGAATTACTTCTTCTGTGGCCAGCGAGGCTTTCCTGAAGGCCTCTGCAGCCGATAACAGAGCTCTGGATCGATCCAGAACTTTGTTATCAGTTACAGAGACCTTCAGGAAAGCCTTGCCAGCCTTGCCAGCTGCAGAAGAAATGGATCGGCAAGGCAGATGTCAGGGTGTGCGAGGCCTGACTACAACTGTCCAAAGGTAAGTAGTAGGGTAGCTCCACCCACCCCCCATCTCCACCCTGGCTTAAGTTTTACCTGTGCACCCTGGAGTGGGCAGGATCTAATTAGGGCTTATTTTGGGGGGTAGGGCTTATATTGGGCACACATGTAAAAATCAAGCTAGGACTTACTTTCTGGGTAGGTTATGTTTTTGGGGAAACAATGTAGGACTGCACTGTCTAACTGATTTTTCTCCATCAAACACCCTCACATCCTTCCTAAAAGAAAATGAGGAAGGGGAAACCACCCAAGATAAATTAGAAGAGAGAAGAGAATAAAGAAGAGAATGGGAATAGAATAGGAATAGATTATAATAGAGTAGAGTAGAGTAGAGTAGAGTAGAGTAGAATAGAATAGAATAGAATAGAATAGAATAGAATAGAATAGAATAGAATAGAATAGAATAGAATAGAATTCTTTATTGGCCAAGTGTGGTTGGACACACGAGGAATTTGTCTTGGTGCAAATGCTCTCAGTGTACATAAAAGAGTCAAGAATTATTTGCACTTGTACAGCACTCTGGGGTTTTCAAAATAAAAACAAAAATGTTACGGGAATATTTTAAATAATAAACACGTCGGGCCTAATAAGGAAAGTAACGTGGGCTCCAGAAGGTTAATTAATAATATATGAATAATGCTTTTCAAGACGGTAGCAGGAGGGCGGGGGGAAGGAACCTGTTGTAGAGGCAGAGCTTTTAAGGAAAACCCCACGCGGGTTTTCTGCCCCAGGGAAACGGAAAAGCGAGGCTTGAAAGGGGCAAAATGGAACCTCAGCACTTTTTCCTGGAGGGTAACAAAAATCAGTTTGCTGACCAAGATCATGCATTGTAGATCATGCCCTGAAAACAAAATATTGATGGGGTCTATATTTGTAAGGTCTACTCTAGGCTGTCTTCTGAGCTGACATTTCAACCCAAGAATTGAACTGTTTTTTCAACCAAGGCAACGTTAAGAAGGGTGGACTTCAACTCCCAGGAGTTGAAACCCACCCCTCTTAACGTTGCAAAAATTGAGAAAGATGCTATTCTAGAGTGCAATTCAACGCCTTAATTTTCAGACCAGGAGAAAAAAACAAAGATGGCAGAACATATCAGGAAAATACGATTATCTTGCAGTGTCTTCCTTCTCCATATTTTATTTACTTTATTTATTTCATTTATTTGTCAATAACTTACAAGATAATAAACATAAGTATAAATACAGGAAATGGGTTTGAATAATTGGGGACAATAGGACAGGGACGGTAGGCATGATTGTGCGCTTATGCACACCTCTTACATAGCTCTTAGGAAGGGGTGAGGTCAATAGTGGTTAGTTTGAGGGAAAAGGAGTCGGGGTTTGGGGGATGGCAAGAGTCAGGTAGTGTGCTCCGGGCGTTGACCTCTCTATTGCTGAAGTCATACTTTCTGCAATCAAGTTTGAAGTGGTGTACATTGAGTTTATATCTATTATGTGCTCTTGTGTTGTTGCAGTCGAAAGTGAAAAAGTCATTGATTGGTAGTACATTGAAGCAGATTATTTTATAAACTATGCTTAAGTCAAACTCTAGGCGATGTAGTTCTAGGTTATCCAAGCCCAACATCTCAAGCCTGGTGGTGTATAGTACTCTTCTTGTGAAATACTTCTGGACACGCTCAGTTGTATTAATGTTCGATATACAGAGTGGATTCCAGACAGCTGAGCTGTATGCAATATCTGTATTCAATATTCATATCTGGGATGCTGGTTATCTGAAGGCCACGTTCTTCCTTCGAGGCCTTACCGTCCTTCACACCTGCAGGGTTCCCCTGGTCACCCCGCAAAGGTGGAGAATCGTAGCACACAGGCCTTCCAACATTTACCCTACATATTTGGGGGGGGGGTGGGTGGGGCTGCTGATATTGGAGACGTGGTGTTTCTCTTTGTCCCAGGCCTTTTCGCTCGCCTCCACTGGAGATCTCCGACGGTCAGATGGTCCTCGGACCAGGCAATTCCCCAACCTTTGTGGAAGTTGGGGCGGCTTAACCACGTGGCCATCGCTGTGCCTGACCTGGAAAAAGCCACCGCCCTGTACAGGGATGTGTTACAAGCCCGAGTGAGTGAGGTCCTCCCCCTGCCCGACCACGGGGTCTACACGGTCTTCGTGGAGCTGGGGAACACGAAACTGGAGCTTCTGCACCCCCTGGGAGAAAAGAGCCCCATTACGGGTTTCCTGCAGAAAAACAAGGCCGGCGGAATCCATCACATCTGCCTGGAGGTATTTCCTGGGTTTTGTTTCGAACCGAAGAGATAAGATTCTGAGCAAAATCTGCTTTAGAAATGCAGGTAGTCCTTGAATTACAACAGCTCGTCGCTTAGGACCGTTTTTCACACTTGTGACCGTTGCAGCATTCCCCACAGTCACGTGATCAAAATTCAGCCGCTTGGCGAGGGACTCGTACTTATGACCGTTTGCAGTGTCCCTTTTGCCACCTTCAGACAATTGGAGTCAACGGGGAAGCCAGGTTCACTGAAGAACCCTGTTATTAACAAGTGCAGGGATTCGTTTCATAACGGGGGCAAGAAAAGGCCACAAAACAGGGCAAAACTCAACAACTGCCTCCCTTAGCAAGAGAAATGTGGTCACAAGTCAAGGACTACCTGGAGGTGCTTAAAGGAAGGGATCGGGGGAGGGGCTTGAGAACAAATCGACTTTGCATTTCTTTGTTTTTAAGGCAGAGAGGAGGGATGCAGTGGCTCAGCGGCTAAGGCGCTGAGCTTGTCGATCAGAAAGGTTGGCGGTTCGAATCCCTAGCATAGCCGCGTAACGGAGTGAGCTCCCGTTCCTTGTCCCAGCTTCCGCCAAGCGAGCCGTTCGAAAGCATGTAACAAAATGCAAGTCGAAAAATAGGAGCCATTTTGGTGGGAAGGGAACGGCGTCCTGTGCGCCTTCGAAGGCGTTTAGCCCTGCCGGCCACTTGACCATGGAGACGTCTTCGGACAGCGCTGGCTCTTCTTCGGCTTTGCAACGGAGATGAGCAGCGCCCCCTAGAGCTGGAAACGAGTCACATGAACGTGCAAGGGAACCTTTACCTTTTTAAGGCAGAGAGGGGAGGGAAAAGGGTTCCAGGTAGCACGGACGTACCCATCCAAGCCTTTTCCCCCCAATAGCGTTGAACATTTCTATTTGAGGGACATCTGGGGGCCCAGAAGTTTTCTCGTTTTAAGAAGGCACCCCTTTCTTTCTCACCAATAACTCTTCGAAAACGGATCTCTCTTTGTTTTGGCAGGTGGACGATATCACCAGCGCCATCGAAGAGCTGAAGAGGAAAAAGATCCGTGTTCTGAGTGACAAACCCCAAATCGGTGCTCATGGAAAGCCGGTGGTTTTCCTGCACCCCAAAGACTGCGACGGGGTGCTGGTAGAACTTGAACAAGCCTAGAAGGAGGCTGCATCCGTCACACGTGGCAGGAGCTCCCTCAGCCAAGGAGAGACTTGGCACCTCTCTCCTCTCTGTGGCCTACATCTGAGGTGCCCCGTTGAGGTGGTGGGGCTCCCAAAAACTTCAGGGCCCCTATTTTGAAGGGGCAGGAACAGGATTGGCAGTGGAAGTTTCCGCTGAGAGATGCTGTTCATCAGCGGGCAGCTTTCGGGGAATATGCACCCCAATAAACAGTCTCACCAGAAATATGGAAATAATATGGAAGCAGAACTTGACATCGAGAATCACAAATGCGCAATTAAAAACCAAGGAGAAAAGGATGGGTGTGTTTTTGAGTGCTTGAGCCAGCTTACCAACACAAGGCAGGGCAGTATTTTTCAATCCTGCCAACTTTTAAGATGGATGGACTTCAACTCCCAGAATTCCCCAGCCAGGTAAAGTTGCCACGGTTGAGAAACATGCTTTAAGGCAGGGGGTCTCCAACCTTGACAACTTGTTTTCCTGGCTGAGGAACTCTGGGAATTGAAGTCCACAAGTCTTAAAAGTTGTCAAGGTTGGAATCCCCTGCTTTAAGGCCTGCATTTTCTGTTCCTGGGGCGGTATATATTTCCTTAATCACTTGGGTGGTCCTTAAGATTTTGGTTTTTCCTCTCACCGTTGCAAGTCCAGGTCTAATTTTATATCCCCTTGAAAGAAACTCTGGAAAATCTCCCATTTGCAAGCGAGAAAAGCAGGAAATTTGTGCAGAAGGCAGCTGTTTTCTTCCTAATTGCTCTGGTATTCCCTTAGGAAAACACTGGAAGCCTTTTTTTCCTTTTCGTATTCTGAAGCATCACTTAATAATGAGATGATAGTTGTTATTGCATGAGCCATTTTGCCGTCCTGTAACAGTTGCTCTCAGGCAGGCTCTGTGGTTGCCTTTTTGGTACACTTGCAAAAATATGGCTATCGGAAGAAAAAAATTATGTGTGTGTATGCATATGTCTACGTATACACACAGAGATATATATATGGAAGAAACAGAGTTTTTAAATCTTTTTTAAAAATTAAGCTGCTAGCCCTAAGAGAATTATTTCTAGGTATTAGAACAGCTCATAATTTCAAATCCTTTGAATAAGCAATGAGCAATTAAAAGCCAGATTTGTTTAACCAGCTAAGAAAAGTGTGTGGCTGCATCAAAACTAGCTGGTAGATTTATTTTTGTAATTTTATTTTTTTGCTGTAATAGAAAACACAGCCCTCTTTGTCTCCCTATTTGAATTTTACTTCTTTCTTTATTTCGTGTGTGGCATATCATACATGGGCTAGCAATATATATTAACATTTCATCCAGATTAGCAAAACACAAAACATAAATGCTAAAAAGACCGATGTTCAAATACCAATGTTCGGCCAGCTAACCATCCAAATGTAGAATTGTTTATTGGAAGAAAACTCAGATACTGGACTGGTATATTCCCTCAGCTTACAGCCAGTCATGATGTGATCTTAGTTTATTCCAAAATAAGTCCCTGCTTTGCCCTGTATCTGCTACCAATGTAAGTCAGTAGGAAATGACCAATGTTTACAAACAAGAAGTTACTACAAGCTATACAACCAAACTTCCTAACGTTGCTAAGCCAACAGCAAGAACTACGCGTGCAAAATGAATATTTTCACGGGAGACCATAAATAGCAACTAACCACCACTGGAAAGAGTGCTAAAAGCAAGAAAAACGCGTAGCTTTTAAGGAAGAGAAGATGCACTAAGTTAGATTCCTCCTGAGTTTGTTCATCTTAAACATGGACAAAGTGTCGCGTGTTTGTGGGGATTTCTTAATGTTCTGCTAAACCTCTGAGGCTGCAGCAAGATTTTTGCTGTTTAACTGAAGGACAGTCACCCCAATTCTTCGTTCTGAAGCTGAGCAGCTGAATCTGAGCTTAGTAGACCGTGAGCCAATCCTGGGATCAAAAAAATAAGCTTCAGGGGAAGAACAGTTGGGGTGGCTGCAATGCACCATCATCTTCCCTGCTTCCTTTAAGTCCCATCCTTGTATCTTCCAATTACAGGCAGTCCTTGACTTCCAGCCATTCCTTTAGTGGCCAAAGTTGCAATGGCAGTGAAAATAGGGACTTACAACAGGTCCTTGCCCTTACAAACCATCACAGCATTCCCATGGCCACCCGATTGAAATGTGTGTGCTTGGCAGCTGGCATATACAGTTATAACGGTTGTAGCCTTCTGGACTCATGGGACCACCATTTGTCACCTTCCCAGTGGCTTCACTTAATGACTGTATGACTCACTTAACACCTGCAGTTATTTGCTTGATAGCCGTGGCCAAAAATGTCAGAAAAATGGGCGCACCTCATTAAACAATCGCTTTTCTTAGCAATGACAATTCCAATCCGAGGACTTCAAGGTCAGGAAGACTTTGAACTTTGCAACCTTGGAGATATCCCGGTGTCTGGGATATTTTGACCTGGTTTGCCTACAGTAATAATGCAGCTCCCTTTTTATGCCAGCACCGCCTGGGAGAAATGGAAATTTGAGCAAATTTGATGGCGTGTTTTTTTTGTTTGTACAGCCCAGTAAAGTGAGCTGTGAGTCAGAGATAATTAGCCATCGGATGACACCAAAAGCTTTTATCCCAATTCAGATAACTGGACTGTAATTTAACATCGGCTGATCCTTACTTAGAGACGTGACCCATTTTTCATTTCTTGCAGTTGTATGGAGAACACCTCTCTAAGAAAACAAAAGCAGAAGAAATATAAATATTAATGGATTTCAGCTGGGCTATAAATGCAGGTGCCCTGTAGGGCAACAACGTCCTGCAATTTCTCTCTAAACATTGGGTGAAGACCTGTGTTTTTCCCGAAGCTTAATATTCAGAAACCAAAACTTTACTGTTTCCATCATGCCTGTGACTAAATTTTAATTATTTTAGCATGGGGTTTTAGCATCCTTTTTTTTTTAGAAATCGTGAGAAGACCCACCACACCAAACTGGCTTGCAAACCAATAAAACCCATCAAAATAGTTTCAGCTGGCTTGTTTTAAGTTTCAAGTGGAAAGAAAAAAATATCAAGTGACACTTCATTAAAAACAGTGCCGCCTTTAAATATATTGGCCAATCAGAGTAAAAATAGGAGACCCTCCCAAATCTTCGTTCATCCCTGGCCCCTTTCAATGGGATGCTTTCCTATGCTCCAATAACCTTCCATTGGTTATCTGCTTTTTAATGGGCCATCAAATTAACGGCAAAGTATTCCATTCCTTCCCTTAGTTTGATATTTGTCTTTAAAGGGAGTGTAAAACTCTTCTTTTATTGTCCTTTTAATTAAATTTGAACACATTAACTGCACCTTTTCTAGACAAGAATATTTTTCTGGAAAGGGAGAGAGAGAGAGAGAGAGAGAGAGGGAGATATGAAGGAAACATAGTTTTTGCTATAAATTTAGTTTCTGAAAAAAATAAGCTTTCATGGTCTAACTCAGTGTTTCCCAATCATGGCAACTTGAAGAGGTGTGGACTTCAACTCCCAGAATTCCCCAGCCAGCATTGGTAGCTGGGGAATTCTGGGAGTTGAATCCCACACCTCTTCAAGTTCCGAAAGTTGAGAAACAATCTATATCCTAGATCATGGGTCTCGGTTGCCAATTCTGGTTGAGGAAGTCAACTCTCTGTATTTCAAAGCTCACGATCGTTTCATGAAGAAGCACGTACAAAGTTTAAAAATATATTTGATTGACCCCTCAAACTTCCTTCCATCCATGTAGATGGGAGAATGTGTGTCAGTTGCACACATCCTGATGTTTTCATAAACCGGGCCACTGAGCCAAAATGTGCCAGAGATGAGTTTTGCATGCTAGGCTGAATTATTTAATGCATTGCTCTCCTCAAGTGACTGCCAAGGTATGTCCTCTCCTTCTGCCTAAAAATAACATGCCTTTGTCATACATGGTTTGGTCACGTGTGTAACAAGCGCCTTTGTGGGTGCTTGCAAACATCCTATACGTAAACGGCATGGGAAACCACAAACATTCTGCTTTCCTTGTGGGGGTTTGACTTGTGCTATGGGGTGGCCTTCCTGTCTTGCAAACAGTCTAAATAAATACTGCAGAAGTAGCCCCGGTCTTACAACGATTCATTTAGTGGCCATTCAGAGTTACAATGGCCCTAAAAAAAAAAACCGAGTTCAACTCCCAGAATTCCCCAGCCGGCATAGAATTCTGGGAGTCGAAGTCCACACATCTTTAAAGTGGCCAAAGTTAATTTGTAGACTTGGAAGGGGAATCCCTTGGGGGAGTGTGGAGGCCAACCTTCCCCGTCCTGGCTGTGCCTCTTGGGATTTGTAGTCCAACCACATCAGGAGAAGTGACTTCCCTGCCCAATGGGGAGGGGTGTGTGGTGTCACCAGGAGTGACCCAAGAAAGGGGCTGCCCCGAGCATCCCAAAGGAGCCTCATTCAAGGTGTCCCCGCAAGATAAAGGAGGTGCCCATCTTGAAGGAGACCCCAGGGAGTTGAGGAGGAGGAGGAAAACTGGCCAGCAACTCAGCACCTCGGAAAGCGACGTCGGGGGCGGGGCGGGGGGG